AAAAAAAAAAAAAAAGAGAGAGAGAGAGAAAAGAAAGAAAAGAAAAAGACTAACTAATTATGAATTATAGTATTTAACAGAAAAGGATCAGTTGGCTTAATAAAATCTATTTGAATGTGCCAGTAATTCTGTGACATTAAAAAAAAAATCTACTAACAAGAGTCTGAAATAGGTCAGGCACGGTGGCTTATGCCTGTAATCTTAGCACTCTGGAAGGCCAAGGCAGGTGGGTTGCTTGAGCTCACAAGTTCAAGATCAGCGTGAGCAAAAGCAAGACCCTGCCTCTACTAAAAATAGAAAAACTCAGGCAAGAGGATCTCTTAAGCCCAAGGTCGAGGTTACTGTGAGCTATGATGCCATGGCACTTTATCCAGGGTGATAGCTTGAGACTCTGTCTCAAAAAAATTTAGAAAAGTTCAAAAAAAAAAAGAAAAGAAAGAGTTCAAAACAATATAAATAAAATACCACACATTAAATTAGTCATAGATAAGTACTGAGTTCTCAACTTCACGTAACAAAGAAGAATGTGAACAGCCTAGACAAAATACAATAATAAGCCAAAAATTTTTGTTAGGGAGAAATGTATTCAAGGCAAAGCCGAAATAAGCAATTATTGGCTTTATGTGGCTACAGATGTAGTCTCTAGGCTACCAATGATTCTCAACAGAGTGTGCAGCTTCCAGAGTACATGGGCTCAGGGAGGGGCAAAAGGAATTTGTAAAAGGATTTCCACAATCATCTTAAGATATGTTTGCTTGTTTTTTAGTGTTCCTTCTGAAAATAACCTTAAGATATGTTTTAAATCACAATATATATTTTTAAATTAAGAGAAGACATTTTAAAATAAGTTTGGCACTAGTTTGAAGTTCAAAACATCATTTTAACAGGATTTGGCTAGTAATGGGCATGTTGTGTATAGTTTAAGGTGACTGAAGTCCAAAAGACAGTCTCACCTTGTCGTCCTTGATTGAGTGTGGTGGCATCATAGCTCACAACAGCTTCAAACTCAGCCTCCCAAGTACTTGGGACATTATAGGCAGCCACCACCATGCCTGGCTAGTTTTTCTATTTTTAGTAAAGACAAGGTGTTATTCTTACTCAAGCTGGTCTTGAACTACGGAGCTCAAGCAACCCATCTACCTTGGCCTCCCATAGTGTGAAGTTTAAGACTTTGTGTAGGTACTCATTCTAAACATCCCACTATTAGATTTACAAAATAATAATCACCAGTTAACGGGCTCGGCGCCTGTGGCTCAAGTAGCTAAGGTGCCAGCCACATACACCTAAGGTGGTGGGTTCGAATCCAGCCCGGGCCCACCAAAACAACGACAGCTGCAACCAAAAAATAGCTGGGCGTTGTGGCCGGTGCCTGTGGTCCCAGCTACTTGGGAGGCTGAGGCAGGAGACTC